CTTGTTAAAGCTTCATATATCTCTCATTTTCTTACTTTGATTCATCATTTTGCAGTTTGCAACACTCACCAAAGCAATTCTCCGCTTTGTAGGTTGGTAAATTTCAGATCCAAGCTTATTCTAGCTTATTTACAACTTTTGCAATGTAGATCCTTGAGTTTTTTTATGTGAATTGGTTCATTGTTGGATTTGATTGTAGATCTTGATGTTTGATGGATCCAATTGGTGTTTAATCGTTGTTATTTGATGTAATTTTCGTGATCAATTGCATGTTCTAACGTGTGGAGATTAAGCGATTAAGTTGCTAAAAAGTGCTTTTATGCTGAATTTTAGGTTGTTGTTTTTACAGTGTTAAAAGATTAACGAATTACAGTGCAAAACTAATTAATCGATTAACCAGTGCATTTTTCCACTTTTTTTGGCTTTTCTAAAGGGTAATTGATTAACCACTTTTGCACTGTAAATGGTTAATCGATTAACACTGATGCAAAATGTGAATTTTGTGCATTTTCAGCTTGTTTTGATTCCTTTCCATTTTTAATCTTCATGGATTGATACTATGCATATATGTGGACTGTTCTTGAGTTGTTTTACTTTGTATGATGGTTTGAATGTAATTCGTCGACGCGCAACTTTTCGTTTCCGTAACGCATGTGCACGATCGTTCGTTTTGCATTCTTGATGCGATGATCATGTTGCATAATCCTTTGTGCCACTGTGATTGCTTATTCTTGATATTTACATTGCTGGAAATATGATTCATGTTCATGTTTTGTTTCCGATTCCATGTTTGTGTGTTTGTTTCATGCGATTAATTGTCGAATTGTCTATGATGCTTTTGATGAGTGCTTAAGTATGCGATGCTATTAAAACTTGTTCATGCCTATTTGTTTATGCTTAATTGTCTACACATGTGAATCAATTACTCTTTCTTGATGCTTGTTTATGTTTGCAATTCATGTGTGTTTGCTTAAATGTGAAGGCATGTTTTTGATCTTTTCTTTTGATGCATGATTATGCTTGGTGATGGAACATGTTCATTATTGATTGATCAATCTTGGATGCATACTTGATATTGTATTGCTACATAACTGTACATGATTGATGCCTATCCATATGCATTTGCATTGATGCATTGCTGCTGTCTTTTACACCTGCTGTTTTGGAGTTTCACATGCTGTTAAATGTGCACATGTTCTGCCTTACTGCCTTTTACACCTGTTTTTTCCTGAAAACATGCACTGTTAAAAGTTATTTTGCCTGTGTGCTGGATTTTACTGTTGTTTTGTGCAGGAAGCGTTGTTGTAGCTGTTGTTTTTGCTTTGTTTTCTTATTTTTGGCTTGTCATTGCATGCTCCCTTAGGGCCTCCTAGTCCAACTTAATTTTCGATTAAGCTTGGTCAAATCCATGCATGATAACATTAGGTTATGCCATTTTAAACTCAACATTAGGTCCATTTTTTGCATGCTAACATTAGGATAAAATTTCCTTTCGCATCCCGACCTTAGGGCCACTTTGCATGACAACGTTAGGGTCGAGTTTCCCTTTAGACCTTCTGTGCGTCTTTCTCTCTTCTCATCTTAAAACAATTTCAAAATACTTAATAAATACGATGAACATTGTGCGCCAGGAGCCTTAAGTATATAGGAAATGATGAGTGAGGGGTTTCTCCTTGCTTGTTTAGAGTGTTTAGCGTACGTCTCGTCTGGGGACGATCATGCAACGCGTTCGCTCCTATATCATAGACTTTAGTGCAATGCGAATGTCAAATCAAATCAATTCACTTGTCTAAAACTCACAAACAAATGCAAATCTTTTTTATCCTTCGGGATCGTTTGTCAAACCATTTTCAGAAAGAGCACGTTATTTTTCTGTTCTATCGCAAACAAGTATCGACCCTAACTACTGGAATGAGAGCTTAACTTCACTCATAAAAAACACTAAGCAACTTGTGGTTAGCTGAACTACAGCTGCTCTGATTTCTCATACCAGATGAGGATACGTAGGCACAAGATGATGATGTCTTGGCGAGCAAACTTTCTCCCTTCACTAGTATTTTTCGAACTACGTTGACTCTGACTTTCCCATTGCACGAGGGAATACGTAGGCATAGGGCGGCGATGTCCTATCAAGTCTCTTTTTTTTTCTTTTTCTTTGTTCTCGCTTCCGTTTAATAGTAGGCTTTACCTGACACACCCTTTGATTAGACAACAAGCGTGGATCCCGTTGAGTATAACAGATGCGAGGGGGTGCTAATACCTTCATCTCGCATAACCGACTCTCAAATCCAAGATTTGGTTGCAATGACCTTGTCTTCTCCCTTCTTTTCCAGTTTTCTTCGATCGTTTCCTTTCCCTGCGTCGGGATAAATAACATTCGGTGACGACTCTTCTGTTTTTCTGCCAGATGTCTTTCGCATTGCGACACTTATCACACAAGATAATTTGAGTAATAGAGTATTTGAGTTGTAATATCGTTTCATCATTCATACTCTTTTTTACTGTCTAAACACTTGAGATAATGTTCGAGTAAAACACAGAGAGAGGGGTCTCAGATTTAAGGGGAGTCCTAGATCGAAGTTCATGTGTAGTATTAGGAAAAAAGACACTCAACTAGGAGAGTTCAAATCAGACCAATTTGCACTTTTGACTATTAAGAGTGAATTTTCTTTCATTGGGTTAACACCCTTTAGACGTAGTTTATTTTGCATCAAATTGTGTTATCGATTTTCATGTTATTTATATTTTGCATTTATTCATTTAGTTACACATTATAGTTGTCATACACTTTATTACAACATTGTGTCTAACATATTGCTATACAGAGAACAAAATTTCAAATATGAGCACTTAAAATTGTCCGCAAGTGATTTGACATCTTGTGCTGATTATCGTTCATTTAAATTCAACTATGAGAAATGTGATAGAGAAATTATCATTGTCCTCGGCATGAGCGAAAGTCCACCTATCCCATAATATTTCAAGCTTAAAAATATTTCAATAGACAATTCTTTCTTACAAAAACTAAAAGTAAAAAAAAGTAGAGTTAAGAAAAAAATGATATATTAACAAAAAAAAATATATAAAAATGTTATAAATAATATAAATTATGGATGTCCATAAATAGATAATTTTATATTAATTTTTTATTCATTATAAATATAATTTATATTATATTTGAAATTAATACTTAAAATGTGAATAATATAATACATTTTCTTCTTCTCTTTTCTCTATTTTATTATTATTATTTTATTTAGTTTCATAAAAAAAAAAACATATTAATCATGAATATCATTTCTTTTCACGGAAATCTTGAATATATCTTATTTTGACATATAATACAAAGAAGCAAATATTTTTCCAGTCAATTTTACAGATTCTCCTAAAAAAAGAAAGTCAATTAAGAGATTAGATTAGTATCCTACGCGTTTCCAACGAATGGATATTACATTTTCCAATTTTGAATTCATTACATAAAAAAAATTATTGTTGGACATTATTAATTGCTAAACGAACATTGAACACACATTTTAGTCTCGTGCTAACCAAGACAACATATGGCACAAAAGATAACGGTTCTAATTCATCGACGTTATCCTCCAACGAAACACCAACACAACAATAATTACTATGTTTTGTCTACTTTCTATGATTCAAGTGCTTAATTTAACACACACTATCTTTCCTTCCCCACGGCATATACGAATTATGAACCCCATCTCATGCCATGTCACTATCTTCTAAATTACGACAATTACCAATAATATACAAAATGTGTGTATATATTGCTTATGTCATTCACGTTTGTCACTTTAAATCTCTACCAAGAAATTATTTTGGACCAACAAATTTAAATGTTTTTTTATTTTTACAAAAGAGTATGGGTCCAAAACTTGTTTGGGCTTAAAACAAACTTTTAGTGGAGGTAACCTTTAATAGTAGTAGTAACTTATTTTTACTTATACTCTTCTAATTTTTGCATTAAAAGCCTTTCTTATCTCATAAGTAATTAAAAAGAAAATTAGGACCTAAAGCAAATCTTTAACTTTTTTGACATAAAAGTGAGTAATATTATCTTTGATCTTTTCTATAAAAAAAATTTATTTTTTAAATATATTGAGTAATCAATGTATCTGGATAACATATAATTCAGATACATTGATTTTTCAGTGAATATAAAAAAAAAATTTATACTAAATTTTAGATGAAAAATCTTATAAGTTTGACAGAAATTATTATTGGTTTAAAGATAAAATACTCTGACTCGTGAGGGTTTAATAAAATCTTAATTATGATATTTTAATCTATTTAATTTTAATTTTTTAATTTTAATTTTAAAACATAATTTTAACGTTTAACCTCAATATTTAACGTGTGAATTTGACGCAAACATCGCTAATGTCACATATTTAACCTTAGTAGCCCAGCTTAACTTCGACGCAACATTAACTATAATCATATCAAGACTATCTAACGAAACACATTATCTATCTTAAGCCTAATTAACGAAATTGAATCTCATGCATTCAGGTGTTGCCATAATCATACTGCCAAACATTTATCAACTGTTTAATCTTAATCACACTGTCAATCTCTTATCAACCGTTTAATCTGAATAGCACTATTAAAAAAAATATTTCTTTTTTTTTTCTTAAATATTAATTTTAAATCAGAACAGTCCAATTAAAATTAGTCAAACAAGAATACAAAATGAAATGACTCTAGAATCAAAGTTCCTAATTAACGTGACTATTTTCAAAACACATCAAATCAAATCAACCTCATTAATCTTGTCCAAAAATAAAAAATCTGTTCATTATATCCTCCAAATCTCCCCAATCATCTCCTTATATTTATCAAAAATAAAATATATAGAGAGAGAAACACACCCATCTCTCTTGTTTTTAAGATATAAATATAATCTCTCTCTAGATTACATGTGGATTGATTGAGCATTTTAATTTTTTATATCTGAGCGAGTGTGCGAAACCGAAAAGATGTCTCTATCCCGCACGTGCTCTCAGTGTGGCAACAACGGCCACAACTCTCGAACATGCAACGACGGATGCAACGACGGAGGAGGAGAGAACAGCATCATGATTTTCGGTGTTCGACTCACCGGAGGAACCAACACCGCCACCAACCACAACAACCCGTTCAGAAAAAGCGCCAGCATGACCAATCTCTCTCAATACGAACAACCAACGCCTCAAGATTCCAACCCCGCCGACGCCGGTTATGTCTCCGATGACATCGTTCATGCCTCCGGCAGATCCCGTGAACGCAAGCGAGGTCAGTAGTTAATTTTTTATTGAATTTTAAATTAATAAAACAATAGTTAATTAATGTTTTGGTTTAATGAAGGTGTTCCTTGGACGGAAGAAGAACACAAGTTGTTCTTGTTGGGATTGCAACAGGTTGGTAGAGGTGATTGGAGAGGAATTTCTAGAAGCTTTGTTAAAACTCGCACACCAACTCAGGTGGCTAGTCATGCTCAGAAGTATTTCCTCCGCCGTCATAACCAGAATCGCCGCCGCCGGAGATCTAGTCTCTTTGATATCACCACCGATACAGTAATTTTTATTCTTATTCTTATTTTAATCTTTCTACTAATTCCTTTTTCTTTTTAGCTGTAATCTACTATTAATTCCTTTTTTATTTGTCTAAAAATATTTTTCTTAAATTTTTAGATTCCCTATTTAATAATAATAATAATAATTCTCCAGTCAAAAAACTTAATAATTGAGTCAAAAAAACTTAATAATTAAGAATTAATAATAATATAATATTAGTATACATATATTATACTCTCATATTTTATTATATAAATATTGATGTTAATTCATATTTATTGGTTGTATAGAATTTTAACAGCTGTCATGTTTGATTTTAATTTGAATTAATTATTTTTAAAGTTACTTTGATTTTTTTTATACCATAAAATTATTTATATTGATAATATATATGTGATAAAAATACTTTTGTAAGATTTAAACTCTAACTCTTATATTTAACATTTGTGTGTACTTTTTTTTAATAATTATTATCATTTTTTACTATTAAAAAAATTACCATTAATGTGAGTTTAATAAAAGATATAATTTGAACTCTATATGAGTTTTTTTTTAATGTAATTTTGTTAATTTATTTTCTATAAAAAGAAAAAAAAATGTAATTTTGTTTATTTATTTTAGGTGATAGAATCTTCTACTATGATGGAAGAAGAGCAATTTCAACCAGAAACCGTAGCGCCGCTGCCTCCACCTACCCCCGGCGTATATCCGTCTTCACATTACGGTGGCATCCCGGGGACACCATTTCCGATGGGTCTTAGTCCGGTAGCATTGCCGGCAATCAATGGTGAAAGAGTAGCCAAGCTAATTAGGCCAACACCAATGCTGCCTCCTTCTTCTAAGATGGCTAACTTGAATCTGAGAGACAAAGCTTCTTCCTCTTCTTCTTTCATTGAGCCTTTGCCATTGTCATTGAAGCTGCAAGCGCCGTCAAAGGAACATTCTCCAGAAAGTAGCGGCCATTCTTCGCCGTCGTCGGCTTTTAAAACTATGTCTACTGGGAAGTATAGTGGTGGGGGTGGGGATAGCATTATCAGTGTTGCCTGAAAAAAATATAGTTTGGTTATGTTTTTTTTGGTTGACTTGGGTTTGTAAATTGAGGGCAAAGTTGGAAATATACCCAAGAGAAGAAAAAAGAAAAAGACATTAGTTATTTAGTAGAGAGAATAATAATAATATAATATAATATAATATCAAATAATATATAAGTAGAGGATGGAGTATGATTAAGAAATTGAAAAAAAAAACAGAGAGAAGAAGATAGGGTTAGGTGATGTAGGTGATTAATTGGTGTACATGTTTGGATGGGGAAAGAGAAAATCTAAAATATTGTATGGCTGTGTTGGGGGATTCTTGTTTCTATTTGTCTGGGGGAGTGTGAGCTTAAAGTGATAGGGCAGTAGTGGGTACTTCTGGTCTCCTATTGGTTTCTTTCTTGCAACTTGGTGTATTGGATTTTGAATATTAGTTTCGACAAAGAATAATGTATATTTATGCTTTTTATTCCTTTGTTTATGCTAACTAGTTGTGAATTTTTTATTTCAATGACTTTTTATAAAATTAAGAGGGATTGGTCTATCTAATTAAAAAAAAGATGGTAGATAAGTGGGGAGGTGATGTTTGTGTTTTTTAATAAAAGATTTTTATTTTAAGGAAATAGAGAACATTGAGAATTTTTTTTTGAAATAATATATATTTTTAAATAAAAGATTAACACAATTGAGATTTTTTAAAAATTATCAAATTAATTTTCTTTTAACATACGCCATACGGGAGGGAATCAGAAATTTTAATTAATAGAATTAAGGTTAATTCTTTTAATATAAAAATAAAAATTAAATAATATAAATATTTATGTATGTAAATTAATTTATAATTAGAAGAACCTATACAAATACAATTTACTTGTGTCTTTTTAATTTTTTTTTTTTTTTTAAAATAATAAAATAAAATTAATAGCTATATTTTCTAGAATTCAAATTAAATGAGCAGTATGAAGACAATTATGTATTTAATGTGGGATCAATATTCTAAAATTAATTATTATTAATTTTTAAAAAAAAATCAAGTGAGGTCACTTGACCCCATTCCACTATGGATGCATCCGTGCCTGACGCCATATGATATGACAACAATATTAAAATACAAATGAATTGAACTGATACGCCATATATCATATAACGACACTCAAAAAAATTTCAAAAAAAAAACATTGATTTCAATGAATGATATATATTCTACCAAATTTCAAAAATATTTTTAAAATAGTTATGATAGTTTTTTATTAGACAATCTTTGCATGTATATAAACTCTTATTTTTAAATCACTTATAATTTTAATATTTTTCTCTTTAAAGTTAATACTTAAAATGCGACTTTTTTACTAATCTTTTATTTTATTTATTATTTAATATATGTATTGCCTATTGAGTATAATTTTCTTTTTTCACTTTCTTTAAAAAAAATTAGTTTATTTATTTATTTTAAATTTGAATATTTATTTATTTTGATATTTTTATATTTAAAATTAGTTCTATTCTTAAATAATATGACACTTGTGAAACGTGGCAAATTATTGTATAAATTTTATGTATAGGATTTTATAAATAAAATATATGTTAGAAATAGATAGTTCATCATTTTTTAGGGGAAGAAAAGTAAAAATGGTCAAAAATATTTAAATTTGGAATATGAAAGACTAATTTAATAAATTGAATAAAATAAAGAGATAAAAATACAAGTAACTTTAAAAATGTTTATTTTACTTAATATATCTTATAAAAAAATTATATTTTCTAAATTTATTGAAAATTGATATATCTCTGATTATATAAAAGATATATCATTTATTCAATGAACTTAAAAAAAGTATTGTTTGTAAATAAATATTTAATTTTATAAATACTTTTAACAATGTATATTTGATTTTTGACATTCATTTTTAAAGCACAAAAATTATACTTTTAAAATTAATTATAATTTTTTTATTCTATAATTGATTTTAATATTTAACTTTATTGTTCAATTCAAGTTTACCTCATGTAGTCAAACATTAATAAATTACATTCTCTTCAATTAATCTTAGTCAAAATTAATTTATTTAAAATCAAATTTTTTCACCATAAAATCAAATTCACTTTTAAAGATACTTTAAAAATTATTTGATGATAATATAAATTTATTAAAATATTTAATATCAAAAAATATTTAGATGGAATGATAAAGATCCTTTTGAGCTTAACTAAAGATTTTGAACTGTTAAATTATAAAAAATAAAAAAAAAAGTATTTATTAAGAGATAAAAATATCTGAAATAATAGAGAAATAATTCTCATATTTTCATTGTTTTCGTGTTAAATTATATACAAGGTCTAATTATAAATTTTCTTTTTTAATTAATTATATAATTTCTCAAAGTTGTGTTATTTGTTATATTTAAATTAAGGGTAGTATTAATTCGTGTTAGAAAATTTTACAAATAAAATATTCGTGTTAAAAAAATATTATTAATCATTGAACTTTGACTTAATTTGTCTTGAGATTTATTAATCTAATTTATATTTTTAATTTAGTCCATTAACTAATAAACATTACATTTTAATCCCAATAACTATTATTTTAAGCAGCATGATCTTTTATATTAAATTTTGAACAAAAACGTTAAATAATACTTACATGTAGCAATCTAGTTGGAAAAATTATACATAATGAGTCAACCATCAAAACCAATTCGATCATTGGAGTAGATTGCGACATAAAACTTTTAAAGTTCATTCAAAAATTTTAAATCATTCTTCTTCAACGTTGCCTTACTCACTTATATTCTTCTCAAGTTTCTAAATTTATAATAAGAATTGTTCTTATCCAAACTTTCTTCATCTTTAATTTTGAATATGTAAAAGATTTCTATATGTGGTTCATTGTTAAACAACCAAAATTTTGGTCCAATTAAATATGTACTAAGAAAATATAAGAGGAGGAAGTGTTATTGTCAAGAGAAATGTGTTATTTGCACATTGACATACATAAATAGTTTGAACTATGGAAAAAAAATATTGGATTGTAGAAATTACATAAAATACACAAATACAAGTTATGATTTTTTTCAAGTGATTAGATAATGAAAGAGATCTGAATATCAAATAACAAAAGAATAAAACTTTTAAAAAATGAAATTGTAAACATAAAAAGATATTTGAAGATGTCATGGTGTTTGTAATTTTTAGTTTAGGGATGAATTTAGTGATATTAACAATGTATTTTAAATAGGTTTGTTCTCGACAAGTTTGATGTAAAAGTTATTTAAAGTTAATAAAATATATTTTATTAATTTATTTTGCAAAATGTAGGTTGGATTAATACGAAGTTAATGAAATGTATTATGAGAAAAATTTGTATTTGAAGCCAATTAGTTATGAGTTGCATTTTGAGCGTTTTATAATAAGAAGTTATAGTAAAAGTTAGTGGGATATATGTGTTCGTATGGGTATTGGTTTTTTTTTTTTTTTTTTTAAATGTAATAAAATATAAATAAGAGAATAAAATTGTTTTACTAAAGTAATTTATTATTTTACAAGAAAGACATATTTTTAAAATAAAAAAAATTATTTTACCGATAGTGTTTTATACCAATAGTGTATATTTCAATTTTTCATATATAATTTTTAAAAATATTGTATTTTAAATTAAAAATAATTTTAAAATAAAAATATTAGTAACATAAATAATTAAAAAAACAACACATTTTTCTCATGTTTAGATTCATAAATTATTTTAAATATATTTACGTTTATTTTCTTTAATTGTAAAAAAATATAGTAACCCATAAATTCGGACGTCGTGCGTACTAATGTGTTACGCATTTGTTTCAAAAATGTAATAAAAATAAAATGGAAAAAGACAAAATTTTCTAAAGAAAATAATTTATTATTTTTAAAAGAGATAATAAATTGATTTCTATAATTTTTTCCATATATAAAAATATTAGAATCAAAAATATAATTATTCCTATATATAAATATTTTTGTTTTGAAATTATTTATAAAAATATTTAAATTAATAGTAAACTTGTTCCCATTATTATTTAATATTTAAATCAATAGTTTAATATCGGTACCTTATGGGAGTACCATATATGTAGTCGTGTATTCGCATGGATAACAATGTAGTACGCAAGCTTTTCTTTTTTAAAATGTAATAAAATTGTAAATAAGAAAAATAAAATTGTTTTACCAAAATAATTTATTATTTTTAAAAGAAAGACATATTTTTTAAAATAAAAACAAATTTTTTTTATCAAAATTGTTTTACATCAATAATATATATTTAAAATTTCCATATATTATGTTTAAAAAAATTGTCTCTTAAATTAAAAATAAAATATGTGCAATTATTTAGTTTTATAAATATAAACTAATAACATAGTATTTGAAAATATTATTTTATATAAATAAATATTAGTAACAGAAATAAATAAATTTTGCCCGTGCTCAGATTCATATATTTTTTAAAATATGTTTAATTTTAATTATCTTTAATTGTATAAAAAATATAATAATTAATGAGTTCGCATACCGGTACGTTACGCGCATATGTTTCTAAAATGTAATAATAATTTCAAAGCGGCTAACATTTAATATTTTATGTATAGTTACATATAAAATCATAAAATTTTAATAGTGTTTATTATTATTTTTCGAAATAGAGTTCTTAGTAATGATGTTTTTAAATATAAAAATGTCAACATTAAATGTATTTATATTATAATGATATTTTAGTACTAATCATATTATACAATCATACAAATTAATTACACTATAAATATTATTTCATATAGATACTTATTTAAGATTTAACAAATATTAAATTGACAACACTACGCCAAAATTGATATTTTGTATCGTCTAATTTAATAGCGTTTTTAAAGAAAGTGCTACTAAAAAAGAAACAAACACATCTATAATAACACTTTATGGTCAGGGGCTATTATAGGGGATATAGAATGTGATTTTGATAGCACTTTATAAAAAAAATGTTATTATTAAACT